GAAAAGGAGAGTAAAGTTTGGAAACATTTGGCTTTCAGTCTCTGTTGCACTACACCACTGGTGAACTGCCCCTTTTTCGCAATTCTTTGAGCGACGCTTAGAGAGTGTCGCATAGCCAATCCAGTTTGGTGGACTGAAAGTTCCATGATGACCTTAAGATGTATCGAACCAGCGGAAATTGCATGCTCTCGTGATGCACAGCTGAGCAGTACTGATTGCTGAGGAAATCTTTTAATACAGACTTTGCACATGGTACTGAATGACCATTGATGTCACAGAACATAGGAGGTCCGGGGTATAACATTCTCTTGATTTTGCCGAACTGCAAGCGCCACGTTCTGTGGCGTCTTATATGAGCTACTGGTTTTCATTTGGGATGTCCAAAAAGTAATCTCTTTTTCTGCATTGTTCTACTTTCCGAAACTGTTGTGGCTCTTGATGTCGCTGATGTGGATTGTTAGATGGATTACCGATGACAGCGCTGGCCAGTGCCACTAAACTGGCGGTAACTTGTATACGTTTACCACGGTTATGTGACGTCGTAGGTTTTGTGACAACGATGAAATTCGGTGAGGTTAGGGGCATAACTTGAAGGAAATCTTTAATTTGATATTACGTTGGTCAGAATGCCGTGTTTGGAGTAACAATGGCGGAGATAAGAATGTATTCGCTGATCTTCGAAAGCTGGCATGCGTTTTCAATATGGGTTTCTTGCAAATCGATACGTTATCTCAGTAGGAACTTCGCTATATAATCACACTGCTCTGGATAACCCTTTGATGTTAAGCTGCGTAATCAAAAGATGGTCTCTGTGGTAGATTGGTTTGACCTTGACAAGGGCCGTTGGGTTCGAACGGTTCGCCCTGACATTTAATCGACGCTTTGGTGATACTCGATGCGCTTTCGCGCATGACTGTATTCGTCGTTTCCCCTGTAGGATAGACTAAGTAATTATTTGCGCGGAACCTTATGAAGGTACATATTAAAAGAAAATATTTAAACAGAGCGTTAGTTTCTTACAAAAGGATTTTCTACGTTGCAGTGGGAAGTGGCCCTCCTACGCACGTCGCCGTTTCGTTTTGTATGGCTGGAGGAGGCTCTGTTTCCTAACTCCCCCATTTTAAGTATCTGTTTGAATGGTGTTCCTTAGTAAATCCGGTAAATGCGATGCTACTCTGCTAATTAATATTCTCCTCATTTGAAACGTGTTTCGATTCGGTTCTTCTCTTTGAATTTGATAATTTTTTCCATGTCGAAGTTATTTACAAAATGCAGAATTCTGATGATCTACCTGCTGTAGAAGATAAAAAAAATACTACCACTGAAACCATTGGCGGTGGAACAGTTTAATGACGTTTTCGCGCGCTGAAAGAAAAGAAATTTCTGTTATACGGATTTGCATGACAAATATTTCAGGCGATATGAATAACATACCCGGAATTTGCTTGTGACTAATCCCATAGCAATTGATAAAGAATCGTTCAGTGTAGTCTTGAATGCACCCGTGGCTTATTTGCAGTAGATTCCTCACCGAACAACAAACTTTCTTTTATTGATTAAGTATGGACTATTAATCATTTCGAATAATAAAAATCCAATAGTTTTACTGCCTCAGTATCGTCATGAAGAGGTGAGACGCCAGCGGTACCAAAGATGCTGGAGTTTTTAACGTCAGATCAGGAATTCAGGATGAATTGTCATGGTTCGCCGTATAACCACTGATACACGCTGGTACAGGTACTTTTAGGTCTTTACTTCATTGTCAGCGTTTTACCTTGACAACATTGGCCGTCATCAAAGCAAACGTCTTATTAACTGACACGAAGAAACTGACAGTACCAACTGTCATTGTTGCAGTGTAACAGTCCGATCGAAGGCTTCGAACCTGATGATGACAGAAGTGCAACTAGAAACATTTGCACTAGCTGTCGTTCTAGCTAATAAAACTTCTCGGAAATTAAAGTGATTGCCATTTGTGACTTTCCAGTTAGGTCATTAAATTGTTGGAAATCTGGTTGCTTTCTTGGTTGACATCTAAACGTCGATGCGCCTAATATTGCTTATGTATGTTAATCTTTTCAGAACAAGCACAATTCAAGTCAAGAATCGTCCATGTCTGGCGTGCCGGTCATAGTGGGCGCTGACGCGATCAGCATAAGCACAACCAAGTGCGGCTACCTGTGGAAACGCAGCAAGAACAAGATGCATCGAAGCTGGAACAAAAGGCGTTGCGAAGTTCGCGACGGCGTATTCTTCATATGGCATTTAGACGTATATGTTTATAATTTTCGCTTCCTTTTTCTTTCTTCTCTTTTCACCTCTATGTTAGCATCGTGCATGTACCTTATTTAGAAAAGTTTGCCGCCGACTGAAATCAGTCTGCTGACTTGTTACATCAAAGTAAGCCTTTCTTTTCATACTGTAAGCTGAGCGACGAATTAAATTATGCTCCTTTCAGCCGATCAAAGATGATGACATGTGCTTCGAAATCATATGCCGTAAGCGTTTATGAGTCTTTTGTTCGGTTTGCCAAATTTTGAGTTTTTTAGGCGATCGGAAACTCTACCTACAAGCCGAAAATCGGCAGCAGGCTTTAGAGTAAGACGAGTTATTTTGTAGATTCGCATTCGATATAGCGCTTGTTGGGTTTCACATATGGTCGCCATATTGTTACTAAGGAATGTGACAGGTTCTGGCTAACTGTTTTGGTGACACGGTAAACTTTTCGACCTTAAGGAACCCCCGAAAAATCGTCATTTAGGTAAGTGGTTCTTTTGAGTGATCCATTGACAATTTCTTATTTACTCGCTTATAAAATAGGCTATTTCTTCACAGAAAGGTAAGAATTTCATAATCGTTTCTGCATACAGACTGCATTCTTGTGAGCTCTGTATCCTATGGATATTGTGGTGTAATTTAGACGTATCTCGAGTTTCAGTGTTAAATCCATAGCATACGAAAGACGCATTATTTCATTAGCGTTAGTCCTGACTAAAAGAGTCGAATTGCTGACGCGACTTTGCCAAAGTCAGGTCCCGGACTCGTTTTGTGACGAGAGAAGCTTGCCCGAATTCAGAACACAGAAAGTTGAGTTACCATGGCGCATTAGCTCTGCCGGTTCATCTTCATCATCGATTCATCTTCCATCGCCGTTCCTCCTTTCGGATCGCCGAGGCGAACGTGTCAGACAGAGCTTCCAACGTTCCCGATCCAGTGCCAGAGTCTGAACCTCGGCAGAAGACACCTGGAATCTGGAAAAGACTCCTTCCAGATATTT